GATGCTATTGGTTTCCCTTTTACTTCAGAATGAAAACACAGAAATCCTATTAGTTCTCAGCCCACATCCCACTTAACCCATGTGTTACCCTCTGCCCCACCTCCCCTCCACTCCAAAAGAAATATTCAAGGATCGTGTAAATGTTTCTACAAAGTCAGATTTGAAAGCTAATCATGTAGAGGCAAATGCAGCCTCAGCAACCACAGTCTTTAAAAAGTGTTATGCATTTTAATACCACTCTTTCTATCCACTATCCTTCACAATACCGAAGCCTATTGGGTGCTGAGACGTACCTGGTAAGAGGAAAACAAAACATACAGAGGAAAAGAAAACAAGCATATTTTCTAGATGTGACTTCAGTACATTTCTGCCATCAGGGACAGAAACTCACCCCTCATGAAATCATTCTATAGTTAACTGATTGGGAAAATAGGCAACCCTCTTCATTGTCAGAAGGATACTTATAAAATCAAGGCTCAAATCGAGAGATAGGTCTTTATTGCAAAACGTTGATGGATGTAGTAAAGATTCATTGTAGAACAGAATTCACAACCTGCCTTTCTTATGTAAATTTAATATTATTTATTCTTTCACAGTTGGTGAACAAGGAGGCCTACCACTTTTGTAATTTAAAAAATGTAATAAAAAAACACCTCGGTACAGTTTATATTTATATTTTAGTGAAATACTAAGTGAAAAAGTCACTAGGATACAAAGCTTGGAAAACCCTAAGATTCAAGGATAAGTTCAATGTCCCGAGGTCTGTACTTTTTCCACTTTCGCTTCTTGCCTTTCTTGTTATCCCCATCTTTCAGATAATTTAATGGTAGTTCCCCACCCAGCATGGTAGAGACATTGACTGAACTGGAACCCAAATCTTTGCCTTCTAGCATCATTTCATTCTACTCTCATGTGTGGTCTACTTGTAATCTCAGCTAGCTGAAGGGCCATTTCCATCCTGTTTCCTAGTATTCAGGAGAAAAAGATACCTGTTGCTGTCACAAAGTGCTAAGGATTTCTGGAATTCTGTGGGTAATATCTTCAGGGTTATTAATAACTGATTTAGGCGATGAAATAAACATTCTGATTGTGGATCTTTTTTAGAAACTCTTTCTACAAGCTACGTCTTGTGTGTTTAGGACACACAGAGCTTGCACTGACAAGGATAGCCAAGAGGAAAGGGAGCAGATCTGTGTATTTTTTTGGTAAAGACTGAAGACCACTGCCGTGTTTTGTACAGGACCCCATGGGTCCAGCAAAGAGAGGGCCAGCAAGAAAAACCAACTCCACCGCTCACAACCTCCATGGCCTTGGGAAAGTTACTAAGTTTCCTGAACTATAATTTTCTTTTCTGTAAATACCGTCTACCTTACAGAGATTTTATGCGGATTAAATTAGACAATGTGTGTATAGAGTCGGGCACACAGCAAACGCCCGACAATTTACCTTCGTGTCTGTCTGGGAAGTTACTGGGCGCTGCTTCTCCGTTCTGTTTGTGAGATGGGGCGATACAATCAAGTTGAGCTGTGTCTGTGTAGTTTAGCCTTTTCGGCCCGGTCCTGAAAACTTGTCTAAAACGATGGAGTCACGGCTCTATTTCACTGTGATGTGTCACACGTGGAGTAGGTTGCCTAACAGTGCTGTTCTCCTTTTCTTTCTCTTTAACAGGTCACTGATACTAAACACGGCCTTAGAACAAGAGACAGGGGGTGTTTTTTTACCAGTGAAATTTGATTGTTTTTTTTGTTTTTTTTTTAAAAAAACCTTTCTATAGTAACATGCTGTGGAATAATATTTAGTTTACTAAATGGCGTTATTTTGCAGAGTAAATATTTAAAATCACCAAGCTTCTGTGGCTTTAATATAAATGGAATTACAGGATCCTCCTCAAAATTGTGGGTCGATTTTGCCCCCCGCATTCTCCACCTTTTCAAAACTTGTGGCAGTCTCAAGTCAGTGAGGATACAAATAGCAAGTAATACTGACTCTGTGGCTCCAGACATGCATGTGTCAGAATTCAAAACCAGAATATTTCCACCCCAATGCTTTTGATATATTTAATGAAAATGTTAATATTTCATGATGTATGTGTTTCCTCTAAAAATGTCTTATATCAAGCATTTGAGGCAAATCTTTAATTGGGTTTTCAGATTATCCTTTGGGCTCCAAATAAAATAGAATTTAAAATTTTCTTTATTGAAAGAAGTACAATTAATAGTCAAAATAGCACAGCTTACTGTTGTACGAGTGGCATTCGCCTATGTCTATCATTACATTTGGAAAGCAATGGTTGGTAGATGTCAGTCTATGGTACGCTGATAATGGATATGATTCTCACCAAGACCTTCCCAGCCAGTGAAGGCTAAAACAAAGCCTTTGAAAATATAAGTCCTTCTTCCTTTCCCCAAGCATGCACATATTGTGGCCTAGAATTACTTGCACAGTGACTTTTAAATGGGAAGTTCAGTCTTGGGAGTGAGGGGTGTTAAGGAAGTTGCGGGGAGGGAGGAGCTAGAGAATAATAATAGCATTTCAAGGCAATGCTATTAAACATGAGAAGATTGGGTTTTGGTAACATGAATAATAACAGTTATTTCCAGATGTTTAAACAGCAAAGTCTCCAGGATAGATGATAATCTCAACTAAGTTCCTCAGAGAAGAAGCCAGTAAAAGGAAAAAGGAAACAGCACTAGAGATGAACAGGCTAATTCTTGAGAGAACTGGCATATCAAATAATATCAGCTCCTTAGAAAAGGTCCCTCTAAAGCTGGATGGTCTTCTGATCCAAACAGGAATGGATCATAGGTGTGTTACGTGCTTATTGTATGTCTGCCTGTGTATATCTGTGTCTAGGCCTCTATGTAATCAGTTTTACTACCAGCAGGGTTATTGAGAGAAAATACTGAGAATTAACTCTTTTAGGCATGTGTAGGTCTCCTCTACCCTTTAACTTTAAGAAGAACGTGTTACGTTCTTTAACAAATCTTGACTGTCTTGCTGTAGAATCAACAATTTGGGCAAGAATAATTTCTGCGAGAGTGAGAACTTAGTATTCACAAGTGGTCGGTGAAAACCCAGCTCCTCCACACTGCCTTTTTTTTCTGCATTAATAAGGAAAAATGATACAACTATGCTATATAACATCCTTGGATAGACGGATTTTCAGGAGAAAGTAGTTTGAATCACCTAGTCCAAACAGTGTGAGGAAGACAGAAGCTACATAAATAGCAAAGAGGCAATTTTAGCTCCAAATCCTTGTGCAGACATGCATATAATAAAAATGTTGGCATAGAAGAGTTACAGCAAGTTAAGATACAAAACTCTAAGGCTAATGTCCTTTCTATTCTCATCGAGATCTCAATGTCATGCATATATATTTTTTCAACTCACTCCCCCCTTAGGTACTTTTTGAATTAAAAATAAGACGTTTCTCACACATACACTACCAACACATGCACACACACAGCGGGCCATCTAAATTCTCCTGTACCGCTCTAATAGTATTACAATTGTGTCCACTTCTAAGCAACGCCAAAGTCATTTAATTCAAGGAAAGAAACCACTTATCGTTAGTTCCTTAACAAATGTTACCTTAGGTTTAGGTTATGGACCTGGTCCTGTCTTCTCACTAACGTTCCCTTTGATGTCACCACATGCATTTTTGTGCATTTTACATTCACTACCAGTGCACTTTGGGAGTTGGAAATAACAGTCCTTGTCCAAGCTGCTTCCCTTACAGATACGTTCTTTGAACATCCTATGCGGATTGTTCATATTGTACGTTATTAAATTTGATTTGGTCTTTTTACTCTGGCCTGTACAGGCATTCAGTGGGACCCGAGTACAGACAGCTGACTGGATAAAGAAGACACGGGGTGGGGGGAGCTTCCATTGTTTAGATTTCTGTCAGAGGATATAAGAATACTTAATTTCTTTTTATCTCTGGGGCTTTCATTATCATTTAAATTTCATTTTACATTAATTGATCAGGGATTAGTAAAGCCATTATGCAGAAATTAGAATAAGACAAGCCAGATGGAATGAATAATTCATGAAGTCCAATTACATTTTATTTCTGGTGTACTTTCAAACTTGCCTCTGACTTCTGTGCTATTTTGATGTGACAATATTCGCTGGAAATCAAGAGTGCCATTTTAATTTATTGTATCCCTCCAGAGAGTGTGCAAGCATTTGTATGCAGTGTGTGTGTAGGGGGTGTGTACAAATGCATTTCCCCCAGAAAACACCAATTTCGGGGCTCTTGGAAATAAATACTGGGGGATTTAGAAAAATGTGGTTCACCTTTGAAGATTCAGGGTAGTAAATGGAGCCACGCCAGTTCACCTGGCTTGGGTGCACTGACTGACCCTATGAAGAGAGAGAAGAAGGTCTTAGAAATGCGAGATTTTTTTTCACTTCCCAGAAGAACTACAATAAACCTTTAAAATATGCGTTCCCATTCCCCACTCCGCAAAAGGAACCCTTCAAGTAGGGTTTGGGTCCCCAGTTGGGACTGGAGGCAGACTTGCAATACACACAATGACCACGTGGTGGCAGGCGTTGCCTTCGGTGTACAGGGTCCGGGGCCCCCGGGACCGCTGGGGCTTTGCAGAGCATCCCCGCGGGTAGGATCCCTGCAGGAGGACCAAGAGGACTGGGTTCGGGCTCCCCGAGCGGCTCGCAAAAGGTAGCCCGGCCGGAATTCCGAGCTCAGGGGCAGCCCCGTCCACCTGCCTGGAATGTCTCTGGCGATGGAGCCTGAAACCGCCCTCCCCCGACCCGGGCCCTTAGGTCGGAGCAACCCCCCTCGGCCAGGCATTTATTTATGCCACTGGACAGTTGCAGTCACATTAAAGCTGGGGCGCACCTTCTCGAGGACTTTCATCTCGGGGAAGTTTTATGACACTTTTGTGAATGTGCAAAGTTTTTAATTAGGCCCCGCTAGACAGCCCGGGGCGGCGGCAGCGCCACAAAGTCTTCACGGTCCCTCTGCTTTACAGCACAACAAGCCGCTCTACTCCTTTGAAGACAATGCGGACTATGTGTACGACGTCATGTGGTCCCCCGTGCACCCCGCGCTCTTTGCCTGCGTGGACGGGATGGGGCGCCTGGACCTCTGGAACCTCAACAACGACACCGAGGTGAGCGGCGGCGCAGGCGCCGGGCGGGAGGGCTGGGAGGGGGCGCAGTCAGCCTCTCTCATCTCTCCCCAACCCCCTCCTCTCCCTCCCCCCCCTGCAAAAAAAATTGGTCCTTTTTGGACAGACCCTCCTATTGCAGCTGGGTTCTGGACAGCTCTGAAGGGAATTGGCAGATGCATGGCCAAAAATCACTTAATCTCACTTCATCCCTAAACCGTGCAGATGCTGCACAATTAAAGACCCCCCCCCTTTTTTTTTTTGCAAAGAGCAAAAAAAAAAAACGATACTTGTTCACGCTTACCCCCTAAGGGAAGGAACACACAGGCACCTTTCAGAGCGGGGCTGGAATAACTCTATTGGCAAACATTTGGAAAAGTAAGATGTGTGGGCGCTGACTGTTTGTTTGTTTGTTGGACACTGACTTTAGATTGGGCTTTTCAAGGGGCGATTCGATAGTATTCACTATGTGTCCAATTCCTGCTTGGAACCCACAGGAGATGATTTTTTGTTGGCTGTTTATGCCCAGATCCAGACCCAGCCTCCATTTAGTTTTTACAAGGCAGACAGTCCTTGTCTGAGATGCTCACCTCACAGGCAGGCTTCCCACAATGGTTCCTAACTCTGAACACATGTGCGGAACCCAGTGTGCTTTAGAAGTTGCAGTTTTAACACGTCACGTTTAGAATGCTTCCCAAGGGAAAAAGAGCCGTTTTCAAAAAACATTTTACCAAGGAAACATTTTTTTTTAAATAATTAAACTACATATAGATGTTTTCAAGATTGTGCTATGTGATTCCCCCCACCCCCCCTTTTTTTTACTCAAAATTATTGAGGTGCTCATTTGGTTATGTGGGTTTTTTAAATATATATGTAGTGTCTTTCAACTTAATAAAAATAAAATGATCTCCATCATTTCCTGGTCTCTGATTCAGGGCAGCTCTCCATAAATAAGGATGGACAGGTAAGAGGAACAAGTGTTGCAAACTATATGTCACGTGGAGAACTAGAGAGAGCCCTTTTGAAGTGTTTTGAGCAGGAAACAGCTCGGCCTTCTTAATTAGGAAGCTACAGCTGGAGGTATAAGGAGGAGTAGGCTCCCCTGCATTGTTTTTTTTTGTTTTTTTTTTGTGTGTGTGTGTGTGTGTGTGTGTGGGAGGGCGCAGGGCGATAGCCATCAGGTGTTATTATTGAGCCGATGTATCTTGCAAGATTATGTAGCATCCTATATCCATTGCCCAATTGTTATCTTTTAAAAATATTTCCATTGAAGCCTATTTTTTCTTTTGGCCATAAGAACTATGCATGGGACAAGCATAGGGGTTATGGAATAAAGCATCTTTAAAAATACTCTCAAGGCCTGAGTACATACAATGCCCATCATTTGGGATTTGGAAATGTTCTATCACATTACTGCTTTTAATAAAAAGATGCTATTACTCCACATGTGAACGGTTTCCCAAAGTTTTTCATCTCACGTTGCCTCTGTCTGCTTAAAACTCATGCACTTAAAGCAACCAAAAAAACCACACAGATTTTCCAGATTGACTGGGGTATCAGAAGTCAGTATCAGAAACCAGACTTGGTAGAGGTGACATTTAGGTAAAACCCAACTACAATGCAGTGGGAATGAGTGTTCTCTAACCTCCTTAATCATTCTTATTTTACTGTTTTATTTTTAATCAGGTTTTTTAGGTAAAATGAAATGGATGTCTCATCATCGCCAGCAGTTATTTCTCTCCTTCCCCCATCCTCCTTTTTCTCTAGGTATCAGGAGACAACCACATAAAAGTGTTACAGCTAAATCTTTCAAAAATCATCGCTAGGCATGCGAACCGCTTAGTTTTGTGGTAACCATAATTCTGCTTTCACAGTAATAAGCCGATATATAGCGTCTGATTCAAATCCAGTAATGAACGAAACGCTTTTTTGAAAACCCTCAACTTGGTTTTGCCTTCTATCAAGTTAAACGAGATTTTTCAAATATTTGTGAGATTAGGAATTAGAATTGTTGTGTGTGTTTTTTTTTTTGGTGTGTGTGTGTTTTTTTTTTAAGAACCTGAACTCCCAGTGTTTTTGCTGTTATTCAAAGTACTGTGCTTTTAAACCAAGTTGTCCTAACTGCTCCTATGCAAGGATAGTTTACACTCACCTACCTCTGCACAGTGTAGTAATTGATGCTATAATAGGTCCTGTCTTTGCAAATAAAATGATTGAGCCTCAAAAAATGTGAAAATATTTATGAAGCTGAAATACAAGAGTAAGAAAGAAAGAGGCAATATAAGGATTGTTTTCATTTTGGGTTCACCAACTTTTGAAAGGCCGTTACTGGTCAGGCTAATAAAATAGGTTTAGTCATTTCCTTCATGTATTCAATAATGTATTAGCATGTATTATAAGGTGTGATAGCCATATTTTTTACCACTTATAATATCTATGAAAAGAAGGTATTGTTAAATGGTTAGAATATTAATTGATTCACTTTGCTGTATTATTTAATTCCACATAAATATAAAATTATTTAAAATGTATTAGGCATAATTTAAAGTGTATCAAAAAATCACTTTTTCAGAGTGGTTCATTTTTTATCAAACTCATATTAAGATGTAACATTTTTATTCCATCTTTGAAAGTGTTCATTTTTAAAATCTGATGTTGAATAGAATTAGGTAAAGTATCATCCTGTTTGATTTCTCTGCATTATGGAGTTAAGAATTAATTCTGAAAACGCTAGTGGATCTCTGATTTGTCTTCTGAGTAGCACACTAATAATAAAATGTATCGACAGAATTACAGCCCATCTAAATTCACATTGTTTTGGCCTTTGAAAGGTTTGGTTACAAATTCAAGCTCCAGCTTGCACAGCAGGTACCTTTATTGTAAAAATTGTGTATTTTAAGGGGAAAAAATGAGCTGGGGACTTTTGTTTACATTTTTTGCACATAATTGACATGCAGTGATTTAAACGGGTAGAAGAAATTTTATTGATTTTTAAGATTAAGTGTGTAAGCATAGATTCTGACATATGATGGAGTTTTTATTGCTCTTTTAAAGATAGGGATTGGGTCAATAATCACGTGTAAACAGATCAGATGGTTCCAATTCCTGGAATCAGGGAGAGCCAGGAGCTTCAAGGCCCAGTGCATGCCGTGTTTCCCTCCGTGTTTCCCTCCGATCCGGAATGTGTACCAAACGCAGGTCTGAGATGGTGGTGAGATGAGCTCGGTGGCCCTCTTTTTCACTACAGTTTTATTTTCGTTTTCTTAATTTTTTGTCTTAGTATTTACCTTTTTGATTCTTTAGTGGCCCGCTGTCATTTCTTATTCAACATTCTTGTAGAAGGTTCTCTTGGCATCTGCTCTGTGAATAGACCTTCAACCTTAATGACGGGAGTTTACACAACCGATGATGGACAAGGCTGCAGGCCCACGGAAATTATTTTTCCAAATACTCAGGTTCCCGGAACAAGTACCCCAGTTACACCGGCACTCTTTGTCCCCTTTAAGAGCTGTTGTTGTTTCAATTATCAGCGTGGAGGGGTCTCAGGTGTGCGTTAGAGGAGCTGTAAGACCTTTCCTACCAGAAGGTGCTGCCCCCATTCTATCAGGTCGTCACCCTGGCGTCTGTCCAAAGGTATGAGCACTTCCTACGACCCAAGGCCACCAGGAGGAGGGAAAACAGAAAGGCAGGGGGTGAGGGTTGTGGGGGATAAAGAAAAAAAAGAGAGGAGAATTTGAGGTTTTGAAGTTTTTCACCTGCTGGCTTTTTCTTGTTCTGATCATCCCCTTCCCGATGAGGTTTTGCAGGATTCAGTCCATATTTTCCCCCTAGAGACTCATAGTACTATGACTTCTAGTCCACCAAACAGCACCCTCCCTCCTGCCTTTTAGAGTATCCTTAATCCTGGCAAATCCTGAAATCTCTCTCCACCCATAAATCAGGACCTGGTAGTGAAGGAGCACATGGAGCTGCTGTGGGGGTCTGGACATGGGATGTGCCCCCTGCATAATCTGAAGGCATGTTCATGTCATTCACGGCCCATTCATTGTGGAAAAAAGACTCTCCCTCTTTTCGTCTTTTCATTAGAGCATCTCCCTTGTCCCCCTTCGTACAGCGGAGCATCTGATGTGAGAACAATGGATCCTTTTACTTCTTCAGGGACGCATATTACTTCATGCCCATGAAGGCAGTGGTGACTCATCCAGTTAAATGTATATTTAAGTTCATATTCAGAGATTCTTTCCTAACCTCCTCGGCAGGTTCCAACGGCGAGTGTGGCCATTGAGGGGGCGTCTGCCCTGAACCGTGTTCGTTGGGCTCAGGCTGGCAGAGAGGTTGCCGTCGGGGATTCCGAAGGGCGTATTTGGATCTACGATGTTGGAGAGGTACATATATATATATATATATAAATTTATTACTTTTTACTTCTACATCTCGTTAAAACACCTAGTGTAATTATTAACAAGGCCTTGTGGACCACAAGAGCGTTTGCCAATTTCCATTGACTTCAGTGGGAGTTGGGCGAGACGTCCTTTGGGGCCTCATCTGGCCTCTCTCCGCCAAGCAGGACACATAGGACATGGCCCCGGTTCCCCGCAGAGCACCGCAGGGTTCCCCCTGCCCCGGGGCCCAGCATGCCCTTCCCACCAACTTCATGACAGTGCAAGTTTGCCAAATTCCTCGCGCTGCTGCTGGATCTGGACTTTGCTGATTATTTCAAAAAGTCAAGTTTTAGTTGATGTGTTTCATTAAAACAAAAACCACTACTCTTAGTTAAAAGGCTGAGGTGAATCAGAACTGTGTACCTTTTTTTATGGTATTCAAAGTTATCATATGAAAGCTAGACCTCTCTGGCATCTCTCTCTCTCTCTTTTAATGTACTTTTAATTGATTTCAGAGAGGAAGGGAGAGAGAGAGATAAAAACCATTAATGATGAGAGAAAATCACAGATCAGCTGCCTCCTGCATGTCCCCTTCCCCCACTGGGAATCAAGCCCGCAACTCGGGCATGTGCCCTTGACTGGAATAGAACCCAGGACCCTTCAGTCCACAGGACGATGCTCTATCCACTGAGCAACACCAGCCTAAGGGTCTGGTATGTCTTGTTACATGATACAAGGTGGGGCAAAAGTAGGTTTACAATTGTGAATACGCAAAATATGGTATTTATTCTTGTATTATTATTATTAATAATAATAATTATTGTATTATTTTCCATAGGAACAACCGTAAACCTAATTTTGCCAGCCCTGTATGTTAAGTTTTATTGAAGATCGTGGTACATTAAAAAAAAAAAAACTACATTTTTTATTTCCATAAAATCTCCTTGGAGTGTTAGGCTATATTTAATATCACATTATCAATCAGTTGTCCTGAAGCATATCTGTTTATTTTTAAATTTCTATAAGAAAATGTTGGCAAAAACCTTCATTTCCAATGAGGTTAAAGACAGAAAATATTGGACTTTCCAGCAAAACAAAATAAGAGTGTTGTGTGAAGCTATTTTGGCATGCTATGAATCTAACATTTGCGTCCTGGCGGTGGGTAAGGGGGTGGAGCGGGGGGGGGGGGAAGGGGGGACCACACCACATCTGTATGCATACATGTGTTAACCTGGGAAGTGCCCTGTGATGCCTGGTAGACGATGGGCTTAGCTGATCACACCAGGAAGGGTTCTGCACAGCTTCATCCATCAGCATCCTGTCACTTTGGCAATCCAACATGGATTGCAACTGTTGATGATATATCACATACTGCTATGTGGTAGAGTTGGTTGTGTTGAAACAAACTAAATGGGGCTGTTTTTGGGGAATTTTTAAAAATTCGCCCAAAGACAGACGTGGAATGACTTTAGAAATAGGGGTTTTCTATTTGGGAGGTACAACTACATAAAAAAACTGGATCTCTCGGTTTTACTGCACCTTTTCTGTTTCATTAGACACCACCCCCTAATTGCCCCTGATGCCACAAGCTGAGCCATTCCAGCAGCACCAGAGACGGTTAATATATCTTCCCCTTTCTCCCCCGTGTCGGAGATGCAACAGGTCTGGTGGGCACTGACACAGTTTGGAGTCTATGGGAGAGCGAAGACACTCTGAATCAAAAATATTGCCGATATTTCCAGCAATATTTTCTTCAACACATGTTCTTTACATTCAGTGCATCTTTTGATTGGTCATCATGTCCATAAATTAAACAACAACAAAAACAAGTACTCTTCATCTGTTCCTTACTAAAAAATGTAAAAGCTAGCATAGAAGGAAAATATAAAGAAACAAGCAAGGTTTCTTTTTTTTTTTTTTCTCTCCATCTCTTTCTTTCTTTCCTTTATTTATAACAAATGTAATTGTGGGAGAGGAAGATGATATGGAGACATGCTCAGAGATGCAGTGGAAGGAAATAGGTGAAATTAAAAAAACAAAAAACAGAAAAACACACTTTCTCCACATCCCTTGCTTATACGTAATGTCCCTTAATTCTTGTAAGATTATATGCAACATTATTTTATCCAAGAGGGCTGGAAAGCAGACTAGTTTAACAACCTATTTTATTCAGAGACAGGCCTTTTTAAAAGTCTGTATGTTGACCACAAATATTATAAATATACATATATCTGTGGTTTGATATATATTATATGTAATATATATACACACACTATATATATGCAATAAGAAAACACAAAACATATACAGAATTTTCTGTGATGAAAGTGATTTTATACTTTGTGGACACAATTACTTGACTATGCCTCATTTGGGGTGTATTAAGGATTTTGCAAAAGTTGCTTTGGCTGATATGTGGCTGCTCAAACTTCTTGCTAGGTTTCTACCATCATTTCTAAATTGGTAAGTGTTGTTATACTTGTATTTCTACCATCGTGCCGGCAGGTCAGGCTGGTTTTCATTTTTGTATTATTGCCTTACTTTTCTAAGTGATATTACAGACTGTAGAAATGTCTGCAATGATAGCCCAGTCTCGCCTATTGTCTGGAGTCTAGACAGGCTATAGAAAAATCTCTGTGACACATAATAGGCCAAACAATTTGTAGGGTTGTTTATCCCTACAAATTCACTACCAGAGGCAGGGGGGGAAGGTGGGGGAGAGGATATACTACCTTATTGAGAGTAGGTAATTTTATAATCTTCTAGCCCTCCTCCAAATGACCAAACCTCAGGGTAGGCTTCTACGTTCGCACCGTCTTCTCTGTATTGTTTGATCTCAGACAAAGCCATCTACAGCTTAGAAAAACTAAGACCTAACAAGATCATTTTGTCTTAACTATGGTATTTTCCTTCAGTATTTTTGTAAGGCATTTACAAATTTACCTCATATTTACTTCCGGGGAAGAAAAGGGAAGGTGTCCTTTTTCTCTTCGTTCATCTCTAAACCCTATTCTAAATCTCTGAAGACCAACTCTGTAGAGGCTCCAGGGACTGAAAGGAAAGATGGCTTGTCTACAGCTGAGCTCAGCTAAAGAGGTGGTAGGTCCTTTCATGGGCAGATGCCGGGATTGCTGTAATGACTGCTGTCTCCACCCCCAGCCTAGAACTGACAGAGCATAACTTGCTTGAGAGGAAAGGGTACCCTCTCCACAGCCCCTACCCAACCTTCCAAGTTATCTGACTTTAGAATTTGAGGTCAAATGTAAGGCTGATGCAAGGCTGACCAGAGGGAAGGGGGTTTGAGCAGGGTGTGATTTAAAAATATAGAAAGAGAGGAAGAGAAAAAATAATGGCATTGAGGATCAAATTGCTAGTAGACTGTGCTACCATTATCCGTATTCAAAATTGGCCCGCTGGTCCCATTAAAAATGAACCCCTCACTAGGGTCACGCTGGCCTTTGGATGGAAAACCTTGTTCTGCGGAACCCTCTGGGAAAGAAGATGAAAGGCTTTTAAATGAGCCTCAGAATACAATCTGTATAAAACACTAAATGGTAGTTTTTAGAGTACACTTTGTTGATCCATTTTCCTTGGACCTCAAACATCGCAGAGGTGTCTGTGGGAAGACCTGGCACATTCACTCTCCCATGGCTGATCCCCCTGGGAATTCTGTTAGGCCGAGGAGAAAGCTGCGGGCAACAGACTGTCTGTTGCCAAGGTCATGTTCCAAGAGGGAGGCTGGCTTCCTGGTGTGCAGCCTGTGCTGTCGTGTGGGCCCGGTGCTCAGAGGAGCCCTGACCTTGGTCTAGTTCTCTGCCGTCATTGTCTTGCAATTGTTCAGAAGATCTTTAACGAGGCGCTCCGCGTGTGCATTTTGCACTGGGCCCTGCAGATTATGTAGCCGGGTCCTGCCCATTGAGAGCATTGCTTTTAATATCCCTCATGATGTAAATAAAAAATGGCAAATTCTGGCCTTGACCTAGACCATTACGAAGAAGGAGAAACCTTTTAGAAATGTGGTTAAATGTAGTACATGCCATATGTTTTTCTTATTATTACCTATTTCTCAAGACTATTTGAAAAGGTTGAGTGAAAATAGCAATGACTTTACATTATAAACATCATGAGGCCAATAAAAATAGAGCTGAAACCATAGTGGATATTCTGATTCTCCCCACAATCCTGTTCTGATCGCATTGTCATTTTAGCTGAAAGTATAATAGAGTTTGGGGGAAGGTTTCTGTGCTGCCCACTGCAATGGGAGTAGAGAGAGTCAACCTTTCTCCATCCACTTCATTGTCAAGAACTCCCTGACAAGAGACTTCTGTGACTGTCAATGGATACAGCACCATTCAGGTCCAGGTAGATGTGCCTAGGGGTCAGCTAGAAGCATGCTCAAAAGTCCTGTGTCAACCAGTCCTTCACAGCCATCTGCCTCCCCTCCTGTCCAGCATAGTGTCCCTATGAGCATGCCTCCTCTAGTACATACAGTTATCCTTTGGGGCTTTTCAGATGATGGCAGAAAGCAGTGGCTGGAATCCACATTTCCTGATAGACTTTATCATGAACTTCTGAGGAGGTAAACAGAGGATTGCGTATGAGCTCACTGAAATCACTGGGTTGAGTTTGTCCATCTCCTCCCCCAGGCCTTTTTCTTTTTCTTTTTCTTTTTCTTTTTGTTACACTGGAATGGCAAATGCAAGCGTATCATCTCTGGGCCTATGACTCAGGAGGCAAAATATAAATCCACAGCGTTTTCATGTAGGCCACATGATGCTTTGTTTATGTAGCACACGTTTTCGGGTGTTTGATTTCAGCGTTGTATCTGGGAAATATACTGTACACACTTATTTTCACAGATAGGGGTCTATTTTCTTTGCTGAGCAGGTGCTTAATTCCATTAGCATAAATGGAAGTTATGTGAAATCAATGAACGCAGAGACGACCCCTTGTATGATTTGGCTATAATTTTATTCTATTTGTGCATCTTAACAGTTACTCCC